ATTTTAGTTTAATTTGTTGTAATAAGTATAAATTGTAGAGATAATAGTTACAGATTTTGCTGAAATTAATTAGTCAATGTGACTGATCAAGCCAAAAAAAAATATTTTTTGGTTCAGTACTATATATTATATAGTACTTTGCTAAGTAGTATAAAAATAGATGTAGATTATCTAGAAAACATCTTCAGTGTGTAATGGGACGGTTTCGCGGCAATAGTAATATTGGCTTTACCAAAAAATGAATTATAAACCAGAATTACTACGAGAAAAAAAAACTTTACTGTATGTCGAAGAAAATTGCTATATCAGTAGTCTTTAACAATTAGGTAATCTAGTATTACACTAATCTGGGGCTATTCGCCCTGATGGAAAATCCAGAAAATCCAAGAAATTCACGACTGCGATTTTAGTGTATTTGAGTAAAGTTAATTAATTTTAACTAATGCCAGCAATTGTAACTAATTATTAAGCTACTTGTTAAAGATAAATAGTAATAAATAGTTGTTTTGTCATGGCAACCAAGTCATGGTTTTTTATTAAAAATATGGGTAAAAATAGAAAAAAATTGAATAAAACGCAAACTATTAAAAATAATTTATTTTTCAACAAAGTCCTCATTTTGTGCGGATTTCCGAGCTTCCAAAATCTTTTATGAAAACCCTATTTTGACTAAGCATTCATTAATTCATGATTATAACGTGATGAGGTCAAGTCTCAAAAACGTTTTTCAGATTACGACAAGAAACATATATATGACGCATAACTAAGGATAATGTGTAACAGCTTAGAAATACGCGCCCGTTTCAAAAAAATGTTGTTGCTGGTTTACACTTTTTAATAAATACATATATACATAAATGCTTACCTTATAATAATCACATGTATATACATCTCTGCTCATGCCAAAATCGGCAATTTTAACTACGGGTCCTTGGGCGACCAGACAATTCCTGCAGGCCAAGTCTCTATGCACGAACCTTTGCGATGCCAAATATTCCATGCCTTTGGCTATTTGCAACGATACTCCCAGGAGATCTTCCGTTGATAATTGAGGTACAGTTGGCGGACTGTCATCGGATCCGGCGGACCATCGATGTTGACTACGCAGGACCTCAGCCAGATCGCCGTGTTCCATGTATTCGAATACCATCATGGGACATACGTTACCTTCTGAAAAAATTCAATAAAACAACGTACCTTTGTTAGTTTGAGAGTAGGACGTAAGACTAATACTCGGTCGCTCGAGTAATCCTCGATATTCGTCGACGATTACTAGGCACGCAACTAAGACCGTGTGTGGCGTACCGTGCTCACTAGAATACAAGGTATAGGGGATAACCATCCAAACACAATACTTGCTCACATAACAATACGGGGTGACGCCTCTCATACGTTGCGGAGGCTCCAAGGAGAACGACAGTTTGTATTGAAATGGAATTTTGTGAGCATATGTAGGTTAATTCAGAGCACTTTTTAAAAATATAGAGAATTCTACAGGTTTCCTCAAAAAATGTTACATATCAAAGTTGTGTTTTTTGTAATGGAACACCCTGTATATTAATTGATTTTTGGATTCTGGGAGAAAAATAAAGGTGAGTTTTATCAGAGAAGTATGACTAAAATGTAAGGTTTTTGACATACTTAACATTTTCCAGAAATAAAGAACAATTTTTAAATTACAATAAAAGCTACCTAAATTGAAATTTACCCGGTATAGCCTAATATGTAGTTAAATTAATTATTGTACTTTAAACCAAATTAAAACTTGGTCCAAAAAGTTATACAGGGTGAGACAAAATTAATATTGAACGTTGGTCGCCTTTAAAAGCATGTTACTCTTTTATTTTAAAAGGAACACCCAGTATATTATTCCGATATTCAATGGAGAACTCATGTCTCTTCAAAATACTATTAAGGTTGCCTAGCCCTCAAACAAATATTTTTCTAGATATTTTCATTTACATGATTTGATCTGAGTAGATCTTTATTATTTGATAAAATCTAGGTGGCTGTGATATGTCTGACGTTACTTCAACATAGCTGTCTAATTAGTCCAACTTTAACAACTAGTTATCATTTTGTGTCAATTAAAACAAAAAAATTTCTCAGAAATTTGCCGAATATGCAAACTTATCCTACATCAGAAAGAATTGATATGATGTTGGTGAATGCAGTGTGCATTCGCCAATTAATAGAATACCTAAATGCTCTTGATTTTATCTAATCTGGTTTTTTTAATGGGTACCTATATGTTAAAGACAGTATTTACAAAACTCGACCAACTATTGTCGACAACATGAGATAAATTATTGTAGCTGCTTTTCGAGGCAGAACTCCACATAAGCCTTTTAAAATAAAAAGATCCTTTTGAAAAGACAATCATTTTATGCAGTTAACAGGAAAGGAAGCATTTTGAACATTTGATTTCATCTAGCTAATTTTTGTCACATAATTATAGGTTTATATCTAGTTTTAATTCTGTAATAATTATAATATGTTTTAAACGTGTATCTTTTTATTACCTTTGAGTATTTTACTCTACAATCTTTAATTTTTGTTAAATTAACAAAAGGTATATCACACAGTCACCTAGATTTTTTGAACTAATAAAGATCGACTGAAGCATAATCATAAAAATTAAAATATCTAGGAAAATCTTTATCTGAGGGGTAGGCAACCTAATAATATTTTGAAGATATATAAATTCCCCATTGAACACCGTAAAAATATACTGGGTGTTCCATTTAAAACAAAGGAGTAACATGCCTTTAAAAGTGACTAATGTTCCATATTAATTTTGTCTCACCCTGTATAACTTTTCGGGTCAAATTTCAATCTGGTTTAACATACAATGGTTACTGTAATTAAATTTACTAAAAATTACTAATCTTCAAGGTCGGGCTTATTAACCCCCCTCACACTCACTCTACATTCTACAAGGTACATCATTCGTTCTATTTTTTTCTGTTTATTTTACAGGAAATGTCTAAATAACAATATTTACCTCTAGGTACAACTCCCACAAAAGATAATATATTTCTATGTTGAAATGCACTCATTATTTCAACTTCTCTAAAGAAATCCTCTTCTGCTTCTTTGGTAGCAGAATCTTTGAGTACTTTAATGGCCACTATATCACGTGTATCTGCATCCTTTAACAATTCTCCTGAAAACCAAAAAAAATATTTATTAATATAATCTTAGCTAAAAATGTATAAAATGGTATTCAATTTTGATATACATACAGGGTTGTTCACCACATACGACACGGAGTATTGTAGCTAAACTATTAGATTTTTACAAATTGTAAGTTTTGGGTTAGTTGAAGGACTTTTAGAGCTAAAATTTAAAAATATTTTTACAAGATACAGAATGTTCCAAATAAGTAAAAATATTATAGTTCTATTTTTTTTTAAATGGAAAACCCTGTATATTATTCTATTTTTAGATTCTACGATTGAAATAAAGGTAAATTTAAATAAGGTTTATCACACTTAAACCCTTAATCTAAGCTTAAACCGTACAGTTTTTGAAATATATTTAATTTTGTCAAATTGTAGTAAAAATTTTAAGGCTTCGTTTCTCCAATGGTATCAAAGATTTTTATACTAAATATTTACTGAAGATTGTTTATTGATCAGATATTGTGTTGCAATAATAAACAAAATACTACATTATACAGAGTGTCTAAAAATTTATATTAATTAATTACTTGCTTTAAACGGCAATAACTTGTTTAATTTAAATAAAATACCCTGTATATTTTACGAGAATCAGATGCACAATTTAATTGTCTATTAAATTGTATTATACCATTTTTTACCTATCTTTTCAAGTTTTCGTAGAAAATGTATGTTTTTATAATTTAGACCTCATTTATCACTATACTCATGGAATATTAATATTTTATATTATTTTTAAAGATGTAACATATTTTTAAACAGTACAGATACTAATATCACAGCTAATATTATCAATATGCATATATGTTTATTTCATTAAAAAATAAAATAAAAAACTGTTTTAATATTTTTTGTTAAAGAGAACCAATTAATATGATCCCAGTATTCAAACTACATTAAATGACTGTACGTTGATTAATAGTAATTGCTTCAAATACTAAAAAACTGAATTTGGTATTTGTATTAGACAGTTTGGTAAAAAGAAACACCTTAAAAATTTTATTTCATTTTTTGACGAATGCTTATTTACAACAGACACTTTATATTTATATATATTATATTTTATATAATTAAATAATTTTTGGACGGAAATAATAATGGTATATTTAATTGGTATACTCTTTTACAAAGATTTAAATACTTTACTTTTTGTAAACAAATGGTCTTACATAATTATTATTTTTACCACCTGTAAATTTTGCACATATGTTGCTTTAAAAAAATCTAAAATGTTAATATTCCATGGGGTATAGCGATAAATGAGGTCTAAATAATAAGAAAATGCAGTTTCTACGAAAACTTAAAGAGATAGGCTCGGAGATAGGTAAAAAATGGTGTAATACAATTTGATATACAATTAAATTGTGCATCTGATTCACGTAAATATACAGGGTGTTCTATTTAAATTAAAGAAGTTATTGTCGTTTAAAACTGGTAATTATTTAATATCAATTTTTGAACACTCTGTATAAGGTAGTATAATTTTTATTATTGCAACACAATATCTGATCAATAAATAATCTTCAGTAAATATTTAGTATTAAAAACTTTGATACCCTTGGAGAAAAATAAAGCCTTAATTTTTTTTACTGCAATTTCACAAAATTGAAAATATTTCAAAAACGGTAAGGTTTAAGTGTAATAAACCTTAATAAAATTTGCCTTTTGCCTCGTAGAAT